CCTGTAGGCGCATGGATATTATCCTATCACTTATAGCATTGTACCTCATGACTGATCTGGATATGGTAGTGTAGTTAAGAATTTGGGCTGCTAACCTCAGGGTCAGCAGTTCAAAACTACCAGCTGTTCCTCAGGAGAAAGATGAGGCTTTCTGTTTCATAAAGATTTACGGCCTCAGAAACCCTGTGCAGGGTCACTATGAGTCAGCACTGACTCCACAGCACATAACCACCACCACTATACATTTATTATGATTGAAAAAGCAAGTTCTAATCTTATCAGAAAAACTGGAAGTAACTAAAAGAAGGATAGCATTTTTTTCTTACAGATCAAGTGGAATTATCTAAAAGGATTGAATGGCATGAATTTCTAAAAGCTTTCACTTAGATTGTACTTTAAAAAGAAATTTGCTTATTTTCCCGAATGGAATCATTATCCATAGCCAAGGTCCAATAGGAATCCAGTGTTAACCCCCAAAATAAAACAAAAACAAAAAGCCAAATCTTTCACAGGGAAGCATCTGTGAATCACCTGATTCTCTTTTGTCTCTGGGAACGTATTTAATTTCTTTCAGGAACCTAGGGACCACTGGAATCATGGTATCCAAGGCCCATTGTTTTTGGAAGGATGGGAACATCCGCATTTTCCCAGACTTACTCAGGGGTGTTGCAGAGCCTCTCTGCACTCTGGGCTCCAGCCCCACATGTCCTGGAGCAGTGAGACCAGGGAGACCAGCGGCCCCAGCCTCCAGGGATGCTCTCTGGTTTCTTTCCTACTGTGATGCACTTGCCCGCCATACACCACTGGAGAGGAAAAAGGCAGGAGATGCATGTGTCAGGAATGTTCGTATAAGAAATCAAACCAAGAACTCTAGAATTTCAACCCAATCTCCCTGAGCAAGCAGGTTTTCCATGACTACACAAGATGTTGAATAAAGAGGAGCTCATTAAAACAGCTTCTCCTGAGAGTCTTGGATTTTGTAATCGGAGTATTTCAGGACCGGAAGAGAACTTTATGGTGCCTGCTATAGCTGACGTGACCCTGGTGGTACAATAGTTAAGGTTTAGTTAACAAAAATGTAGGTGGTCCAAACCCGCCAGCGTCTTCTTGGGAGAAAGACCTAGAAATCCGCTTCTATAAAGATTGTTGTTGTTGTTGTTGTTATGTGCCGTCAAGTCGGTTCCGAACCATAGCAACCCTGTACAGGGTTTCGGAGGCTGTAAATCTTTACGGAAGCAGAAAGCCTCCGTTTTCTCCTGCGGAGCGCCTTGTAGTTTCGAACTGCTGAGCTTAAGGTTTGCAGCCCAATTCGTACCAGAAAACTCTGTGAGGACAGTCCTGCTCTATCAAAGTGCTACACTCCTGTGTAAACTGTGACAATTTTTACTCTTGTTAGGTACCGTGGGGTCAATTTCAGTTCATCTTAAGCACTTTGACAGAGTAGAACCGCTACTCAAAGTGAGGAGTGAAGGTGTGGCGCTGTAGGGTGTGCACTGGACCACAAGGTTGGTTTGAACTGCAAGCTTGGTGGTTCTAACTCACCAGCCACTCCTAGGGAGCCCTATATAGGGTAGTTATAAGTCAGAACTGACTTGACAGCACTTAACACCAATGATACCAACTCCAAGTGAGTTCAACAGATTGTATTCCAGAATATAAATCAACAAAGTCTTGCTACAAAAAACATGTCAGTTTAGTATGTATAGTGAAATAGTTGTTTAGCACCAGAGTTGATTTACTTACGGGTGCAAGTTTCTTATCGCATTGCAGACCACCACAAATAATTCATGGACTGTCACTGTGAGGAGCACTTCTTTATAGCTTCTCTATGGAAATTTAATATCTCCAAGAGAGAACTCATTCTCCTGCAATATGCTACATTACCTCAAGAACACTAGTTAGGAAGTTCTTTCTTATATCAAGAAAAAAGTCTGCTCTCCTGACTTTCGTCACTCTGACCTCTGTTGTTTTCAGCTCTGACCTTTCAAGTGACTCAGAAAAGAATCTATTTTCTCCTTTTCAAGGATTTGGGAATATTTGATCAGTTGACCTCTGTTTCCTCATTATTTCTGCTCACTGATGTATCAAGCCATAAACAAGCTGCATAAAGGTACCCACTAAACACTTAGCCTTAAAGGAACAGCATGTGACACAGTTATATTTGTTGTAACAGTCTAGAGGATATTTAACAATTCTATATTTGCAGATGTCTGTCTTCCTGCTTAAAAAAAAAAAAAAAGGCAGACCTTTAAGAAATGCAACCAGGTCAAATGATGAGAGAGAAGGGAATAGAAGACCAAAATCAGATATATTTGCAAAGAATCCACAGGTTTATCCTGTGCTATCTTCAGCAGGGAGGAAGAAAAAGGCAAAATGAACATTTCAGATAATAAACCCAGTAAAGGTTTTGCCCATAGATCCCACAGAACTTCTACAGAGAAAGATAGGGCAGATATTTTGTTAGTGAAGTATAGAATTGGGTCTCCACTCTCTCTGGTTAACAACTTCTAGCCAGTGAAGGCTCAAAAGGCTTAGTAGGAATGGAGTCCTATCCTCTGTTTAGTCTGCTTACCCAGACAAAGCCACTCTCAGCTCTTTCCACATCTCTATGCCCACCGCTCTCTACAGCTCTTCCACAGACTGACACATTACCTTCTTCTCACCACATCTTGTTCCATCTGCAGCAGCATCCAGCTTAGAGCGACAAAAGCCTTTCACGGAGCACCAAAGAGTCTGGCAGACATTCTGGAAAATGAATGTGAGGTTTCACTTTTCCCTGTTTGCAAGACTTGCCAATAAGCCATTTCTACAACTATGGTAAAAACACATGTACACACACTCACCCAATCATCTACCATCATTATTGCTAGTGAATAAGAATGATGGAAATCACTAGACAACTTTCAGCTTAAAGTTAAATTGTATTTTACCATCATTCATAAATAATCGTCTAGAGTGGAGATCTGGTGTGTTGCTGCAGGATAATGCACGGATCACAAGGTCGACTTGCACTGCAAGGTTGGCAGCTCAAACCCATCAGTCCTTCTTCAGAAACCCGATACAGTGTTGCTATGAATTGGAACTGACTCAACAGCACTTAGCAACTAAGCAACAGACTAGAGTAGCTAATTGAAAAATGAGCAATAAATCCCCTCTCTTGAGAGTTGAAGATGTATTGGCTATATACAGCTTCCACCCACCTTTTAGTCTTTCTTTTTTCCTCTATCCTTCCATTCATGAATTGTACTGTGTTCAATGAGTTTTATCATAATTTTCCACCTTTATCTCTCTAAATTAGCATCTTCCTAAATTAGAATAGACTACCTATATTGTCTCCTCCTAGAACTTATAATTATTGTTAATGAACCTTTCATGATGTGGCACTGTAGGATAAACCCTGAACAGTTAACTGCTAGGTCAGTGGTTCAAACCCACCTGTTGCTCCTCAGAAACCATATATAGGATTGCTATGAGTTGGAATCAACTTAATGGCACTTAACAAAAACAACCTCTATTCTATCATCCTAGAACTCATAATTTTAATTAACGGATCTTTCCATCTGATCCTTCATTTCTCATAATTTCACTTTCATATTTTCTAGCTCTCAATTTTCTTATATATGAAAGCCAAAGAATTCTGGATTTCTATTGGAGTAGGCCAGTTCCTCCTCTGTCACACATCTCTGAGAAACACTGAAGTGGAATGGGAAGAAATTTCTTCAGCTCCAAATTCCAGCTGAATGCATTTTCTTCAGCTGTATTATGTCTGCTGTTTAACTATCCATTGAACTCTTAAGTCTATGATATATTTTCTCATTTCTAAAACACTTTTTTGGTAATTTTGTATATCTGCCTTGCATATATTTTATACTTTTTACCTTATGTACAATTCTTGTTTTATGCTTTTATGTATAGTTTATCTTTTATGCATTTATTTTACTAGGCTGATCTAAAAACTCAATTGATGAGTGCATTTGAGAGTTTACTGATTCTCCTCATTTAGCTTAATCTAGAACAACAAATTAAGATGAATTCTCAGAAGATGAAATTGTAACAGACCAGGACCATCAAGAGAGAAGAGCATGAGGGGAATGTGGGACCCTCACCAGAAAAGCAATTACACCAGTGATGGAGGCAGAAGTGATGGCCTGGAGAGACAGAGCAGCTGAGGACTCTAGACCAATGGAAAGAGAAAGTCTGTAAGTTGGTGGGCTAGAGGCTGGCTTGCAGAATGTGCTCTTTGGTTACTTAAATGATTATATATTCCTGTGTGTTTTCGTGGACATCAAGAAACAAAACAAAATAGAGGGAATAGAAGCAAATACCGTTAACTGAAGATACATGGAGGGGATTGTAATCATTGCAATGAAACAAAATATGATAAATTGAGTGGTAAAAACCATGATCTACCATGTAAACTATCATTCAATCCACAATAAAAGCTTTAAAATAATTGTAACAGAATTATTAACACAGAGACATAAAGCTGGAAACTACATCTTAGTAGTAATGGTCATTTGAATACTGGACACAAAGCCTAGGAATTATTTGAAGTGGGGAGTTGGATGGGAAACCTCCATATAAAGCCATAATCCCAAAAGACTGAATGAAAGAATGGACTGAAAATTAAAGGGGAACTGAGGGAATACAGCCAGAAAACGTGCCTATTTTGGCATTAACTCTAGGAAGGATTGGTAAAATAGTATCTCTGGGAGTTTATATTTTAAATGCTCATCTTTTTCACTTTATTCAGTCCACAACATGGAATCTGGCAGGGATTCAAGAAGACTTGCCTTAATAATGCCCATGTGTTAACATTTTTGCACTAAAAGGTAAAAGTTAAATGAATTGCATCTTAAGTGACAAACAAAAGAATTGGAACTTTAGTCTCTGATCAGTAGAGGCCCTAAGAGCAAAGGAGAACTTTGGTTAATTTGTGTTTTTTGAAATAACATAGACAACAATTTAATTGGGGAAAATCAGGTAGGAGTTCATTACAACAGCATAGAGAGATGATGAGAAACTGAATTAAGACAGAAACAGTGGGAATTAAGAAGATAGGGCACAGGCAAATTATTGAGTAGGTACTATTATGTCAAGACATGGCTTACCATTTGGAAGGAAGAAGGATGAATTAGGAGTGGATCTTACTCTCACGTTGGAATATCGCGGTGCTTTCCAGCCAGATGGTAAATTCAGGAAAGGGAGCCATTTTGGTGATTAAGTTGGTTTCATGGAGTCAACAGTTTTGAATGTTGAAAATTACTATAGAATTTTATCAGCCACCACCAACTTGCAAAGAATTGCTGATTCCATAGAAATACCAAGGGAGTAGATCAAGAAATGATATCAATTGATCAAATATCTGGCCATGAACAGAAAGTCTCCATTCCTGGATCTCAATTTCATTTTCCAGGTATTTCCCTAGCCCTTCCTTTAGTATGCTGGAGTCCTGACATTCACACCAGAGGCATCAAGATGCCCAGAACTTACTTCTACTTCCTGGCAGAAGGTAGCATTGGGACCATATTGAAGTTGGCATTGATGGTGAACATCATAGATCACTCCTGGAGCAATGACCTTGGACTTCAAGCCTTTCTTTTTGGGGATGTCATCAAGGCAGAAACCCCAACCTCGACTGAAAACAAGTAAACAGACAGAAAAGAATTGTTTACAAATCTTTTCATAGTTAGCCTTTCCCTTCTAACTATGAAATTCCCTTCATAGTTAGCCTTTCATTCAACAGAAACTTTCCTCCTTACTATTTACCCTTTTCCATCAAGACAATTTCAAGAAAGCAGGGAAACTTCCTGGCCCAAGGAGGAAGTTATCTAGAAGGAAATGCAAATTACATCCCACACCATTAATTCACCAGTGATCTAAGAAATAAAAATGGGGTAAAATTTGAAATCATCACTTTACCCTCAATGGGATTTTAGTGACCACTTCTCACCTGTCCAGGTTGCTCCTGCAGGCCCTTCCGAGAAGGGAAAAAGGGTACAAGGAGGCAAGGACAGAACTCTGATGAGATCATGAAGATCCATCTCAAGACAGAAACAAGCACAGGGTGCTGGGATATTTACTTGTCTGTGAATGGAGGACCAAAGTTATCAAGAACTCACTGAATCAGAAGGAAAAGGGACCTTCACTTCCTCTGACACAATCCAGACATTGTGGCCTGATGGAAGAATAGAGCCTTCTCCAGGCAGAAGGTTTTCCATGTACAACCCAAAGTGACTTCCGGTTTAAAGAAAAAAAGATCTCAAACATCAGACAGCATACTGTCACTTACTCTAAGAAGCGGGTGATGTATTCCTTGCTGCACTTGGACCAGGTCAGTGGGGTGGGATCGTACTGGAGCTGGCGGGACATGATGTACGGGTGCCTGCCCACGGGCTCACAGTCATTCTCTTTCCCATCATGCTGGATGCCGAAGCTGGCAGGAAGACACAAAGCAGTTGAATAACAAGTAGGCAGTCATTAAATATAGAAAATCATACTTTCTTCTAAGAGATAATAATCTGCATTGAGTCACTTTTGTAAAGAAGGCAGCTGTTTACAAAGTGAGGCTTTGATGTTGGAGTGGAATAGGTAGCTCATTTTTAAACTAAAAAGCATAGGATACATTTTGGGTCTGTCTTTGCTGTAGTGTGCAACTGAAACAGCCCTGTGGCTAATTCAAAACTTTGGCTTGGCAGAAAGCTGTGACATCTCAGTTCAAGTTTCTATCAGGAAAGAGTTCTGATGTGGCGCTGTAAGATAAGCACTGGACTGCTAACCACAAAGTGTGCAGTTCAAACCCACCAGCCACTCTTCAGAAACCTATGAGTCAGAACCAACAAGAGTCAGGAGAGCAAGTTTGGCCCTTGCATGATCTTCATTCTCCTGCTGAAGCAACCACAGCTCAAAAGAACAAAACTTACTTCTTCTTCCTGTTTGTCACAATTTAAGGGAGAACATTTCAGGAGCAAGCCTATAGGAGACTTTCATAATGCTTTGAGGGGATAGATTTTGTTTTAGTTTTGCTTTGGGAGTCCACCAGGATCAGAAACACAGGAAAACACTAGAGCCTAGCAGTTAAGACCAAGGCTCTTAACATCATCAAAGATGATGACCTAGATTCAAATTCCAGCTTTCTCATTGAGTGATATGAGTTAATAATACTTACTCAGTTTAATTTTCCTCTTCCGGAATGGTGGTGGTAGTGGTTGTGTGTTGTGGAGTCAGTTTCAGCTCAGTGACCCTGTATACGGTTTCTGACCCTTAAAATCTTTACAGGAGCAGAAAACATCACTTTTCTCCTGCAGTTAGTTTCTAACTGCTGACCTTGAGGTTAGAAACCTGACTCATAACCACTATGCTACCAGAGTTCCTTTCTTCTGGAATATGGGGTGGTAATTATAGGAATAGGGTGAGAAATCAATGGAATAGAATTTTAAAAAACACTTAGCAAGTTGCTTGACATAAGTTGCCAAAACAAGTATCCATTGAGTTGCTTCTGACTCACAGTAACCTCATTTATATCAGAGTTGAACTGAGCTCCATAGGGTTTTCAGTGACTGATTTTTTGGGATGTCAATCACCAAGTCTTTCTTATGAGGTACCTCTGGGGGTACACTTGAACCTCTAACCTTTCAATTAACAGCTATGCATATTAAGCATGGGGACCACCCAGAGATTCCAGCACACATAACACAAGGGCTATATAAATAAGATGATAGTTTCAAAAATTTTGTCTAGCTACTTTCCTTTTCTACAAAAGGAGACTAGTTTGAAATTGGTCAGAAGTCATACTAGTAGTTGTTGTTAGGTGCCATCAAGTCAGTCCTGACTCATAGCAACCCTATGCGCAACAGAATGAAGCACTACCCAATCCTGGGCCAACCTCACAATCATTGCTATTCTTGAGCCCATTTTGTCACTTGGCCAATCCATCTCGCTGGGGGTCTTCCTCTGTTTCTCTGACCCTCCACCTTACCAAACATGATATCCGTCTCCGGTGACTGGTCTCTCTTGACAATATGTCTGAAGTATGAGAGACGAAGTCTGGCCATCCTGACTTTCCAGGAGTAAGTACTCTGGCTGTACTTCATCCAACACAGATCTGTTGGTTCTTTTGGCAGCCCGTGGCACTTTCAATACGCTCCTTCAACCCCATAACTCAAATTTTTCTATGGTCTTCAATTCTTCCGTGGTCTTACTTACCATGGCTTGGGTCAGGCGCACCTTAGTCCTAATTTTTAGAGGTAGATTTTTGTTACTTCTATTCTAATCCTCTCTTCTGTGTCTCATTCACTCTGCATCTCGATCTCCCATTATGAGGACTGGCCAGTGGGAAGAGCCTTGAAGAGCCCTAAAACACCTAGCCATCCATGATAACCTGGACGTAGCCAGGAAAGGAGCTGTGGCATATTTATTTATAAAGTGAGGCCTAAGGTCACCCTAAATTACCTTCTGAGAGGCCCACAAGAACTCTGTTCACAGAAGTTCGCCTGTTGTACATCCACAACCTAGAGATACTGGCACACATTTCCAAATGTAAACAAAGGACAGTCTGACCTGCAAAGCTGAAACTAGCTAACGACAAAGTTCACATCACACCTTATAGAAATCTCATCAACATCAGCAAATCTAGCAGAGAACAGTCTTTGGGAGATTTAGAGAACTTCTTGCATTTTTAGACATTTATAATTTTATTGAAAATGATCACACTCCACATGAATATATAACTATCAGAGCACTCAAATAATTAATCTACAGAGCTTTTACTATCCCCACATAAAGAACATGAATGCATTTTTCTCAGCAGGTCTTCTCATGGTTGCAAATCAAGTCCTACAAAGCTCAAGAAATACTCTTATCAGTTGATTGGAAACAAAGAAGAAAGATTAGTAGTTGGAAAATACAACATTGGTCATAGAAATGATGCTGGAAATTATATCATAGAATTTTGTAAGGTCACCAACTTATTTATTGTAAACACCTTCTTTTTTTTTTTAAATTGTGAATCATATCTCATGTAATCATTTTTTATTTACAATGGAAACTCTGGGAATTCAAAATTAACATCCTTGCCTGTGAGCTTCTTATACACACCAGAAAACGTTTCAACCTTGTGTTCTACATTGTTCTGCTGTGCTTTGTCCAAATGCACCTTTATAAAACGGCTGCCATCCAGCTTAACTCGGATTTTCTTGCCCACAATTGCACTTGGGAAGACCAAGTCTTTAAGCTTTGCATCATGCACAGCAGTCAGAGTGCGGCTCCTGGGACTTTTTTGCTTATTTTTTGTCCGCCTTTTTCGAGTTGGTTTAGGCAGAATTCGCCTCTGAGCAATAAAGCCCGCGTGCTTTCCACTGAACTTTTTCTCCAGTTCACATACTAATCGGACTTGGATTTTCTGGTAAGACTTCAGTTGAGGAACAGGAACAAAGATTATAATAGCTTTCCGACCACCACCAACTTCAATTTCCTTAGCTGCAGTATGTTCAGCTCTCGTAACTGAGCCTTTAGGTCCGAGTTCATCTCTAGCTCAAGAGCCTGAGAAATACCAGACTAGAATTCATCTGGCTTTTCACCATTGAGCTTCACAATCTTTGCACTTGAACTGAACGTGGCCTTTTTTCCAAAAAAGTATTTTTCTCAATCTCGAAAGAAAAGTCTGGCCAGAGGAGAAGTCGTACACCTACCTTTGCAAATACCTTTTATCAACAATGTAAATGGTGACTATACACATGGACCTCAGCAGATGGATATATAGGCATTAAGTTTACTACATCTGTGAGAGGATACAATGGAAAAGCTCAGTATCATCAATTAGAATAAAGCCAGGGGCTTGCTACAGAACAGACTACCAATTAATCCTATGCAAGCTCAAGTTGGAGCTGAAGAAAACTAAAAAAAAATTCACTAGAACCAAAGTAGGACCTTAAGTATACCCCACCTGAATTTAGAAACCATAACAAGAGGAGATTTGATGTCTTAATCACTAATGACCGAAGAACAGACAGTTAAAAGCTATTATCATATGTGAAGAAATCAAAAGGTCATTAAAAAGACAGGGAAAAAAAAGACCAAAATGGATGTCAGTAGAGACTCTGAAACTTCTTCTTGAATAGAAAGTAGCTAAAGCAAATTGAAGCAATGATAAAATAAAAGAAAGTAGGTAAAGCAAATAGAAGAAATGATAAAATAAAAGAGCTAAACTGAAGCTTTCAAAGGGTGGTTCAAGAAGACAAAGTAAACTATGATAATGATATGTGCAAAGACCTGGAGTTAAAACATCAATGGAAAGAAAACACTCAGCATTTCTCAAGCTAAAAGAACTACGGAAAAATCCTTGCAGAATTGCAATTTTGAAGGATTCTAAGGGGAAATATGCAATCAAGATGCATTGATAATTACTGGTAAAACAAAGAGGAAGGATTGGTAGTTGGAAAATATGGTGTTGGTGATAGAAACAGCACTGTAGATCATATGATAGAATTTTGCAAGACCAACAACTTCTCTGTTGCAAATAACTTGTTCTCAACAAAATAAATGAAGACTATGCACGCAGACCTCAGAAGATGGTGTGCACAGGAATCAAAGTGAGTACATCTATGGGAAGAGACAATGGAGAAGTTCAATATCATCATCTAAAACAAGGTCAGCGGCCAACTGTCCACTTTTTCTTTCTATCCACTTTAGCTTTTTAAAACACACGCAAACAAAAAAAAACCACTCAGGCATATATAATAATTTACATCTCCAAAGTCTCCAAAGTCTTCTCCTGGCCACCAGCTCTTAGTCCTTCTCTTCTTAGTTGATGAATCTAGAGTCCTCAGCCACTCCCCCTCTCCATGCCCCAATCTCTACCTCCATCTCTGGCACTGCTGCTTCTCTAGATAAGGTCCCACATTCTACTTGTGCTTTCCTCCCTTGATGGTCCTAGGGTCCT